ATTAAATATTGTTTGCAATCTATCAAGCACGCCTGAAACAGCCTGAAGAGCAGTCATCATCAAGAAACCAGGTTTAAATTGTTTTTTGAGCAGTTTTTCTCTTATTCAAGTATAGACCAGTATAATGCATTGTAACAGTACTTTTCCATGAGGTCTGGGATCTGGACATTTTGGCAGTAGCGGACATAAAATCTCTGATGATGATCTGGTATTATAATACTGCTAGTGAGTCAAAATATTCCTGAGATGAAATACAGATCCTTTTCATACTCATCTATTCCTTATTAGCAGTAAGTAAAATCAGTAATCAGACAGTAAACACCTTCAGAGTAAGAGCTGACATTGTGGAATTAAAAGTCATAACTCCACAAGCAGTTTTACAGTTAAAGGCAAGACACTTCTGTCAAATATCACATTGCTAGTTAAAGAACTTCTACTTACGAAAGAAACTAAAGGCATGGTTCTGCCTGGCAGTTCAATGAAAACAAACATTCAAGTTCTGGTCAACTAAACCCCCTAACCATAGCTGCAATTATATCCATACAGCAATCTTTTATTTCTAACCAGACAACAAAAATCCGGCTGAGAATCCTGAGGGCCATAGTTCACACCATAACATCTGAGGAGAGCCATGTGTAACACGCAGTAACAGATGAACACATTTACCACCCTGATTTTATATTTGAATTGAGTATTGCAAGGAGTTACAAATTATATGTGTACAACGTCATAAATGTGGGCATGACACAGACCCCCACGAGTTCTGCTGGCGTGCTGCTGCAGTTTTAAGTCAGACCTGCCTGTAAGAAGATGGTACACTTCTACATAAAAAATGTGGTTCCCCGCTTCATCTGTGTGTTCTTCTTAAACACCTGCATCTTTCTATTTGACTTCTGAAATGTCCCAGTACCATCCAGCCCCCCTTTCCCTTCTCACCCCATCAGTAGGCAAGGCTTCCAAAATATCTACTCCTGGTCCTGCCAGCAAGTCTCCCTGTTACCAAAACGTGCTCCTCACCCTCTTCATGGTTAATTTTTTTAGCCCAGGAAATGATAGTAAATAGGAATCCTCTGTCTATCAGAGAAGTGCTGCAAGAAAGGAGATTAACCATCAATTTAAGGCATGCACATCCTTAGCTGGAATATTACTTCACGTTCAAATTTTCCTCTGCTCCAAAACAGACATTTTTTTTTTTTACGAGCAGCATTTCTCTGGAGTAACTCCATGAATTTGCTGCCAGAGGCTGAGGCCCATCTGCACGTGTTGCTCCCAGTGATCAAACAGGGCTGAGGAAACACAGCCCAGTACAGCTGGGCAGCAGGACAGCCGTAACGCAGGAGCTCGTGTCACTCGTGTCTGCCAGGCTGTTAGCAAATCCCTCACAGCATTTGACAAACTCCCATTGGTGTCACAGGGAATTTGGGCAGTGGGATCAATGGCAGGCTCTCATCCCAAAAATAACTTATTTTCTCACAGTTTTAAGACAAGCTGCCCAGGAGGAGAAAGTGGTGGGGAACTCATGAGGTCTAGGGAGCTACATCAGTCCTGGCAATTCGTCAGGACTATGCAACACGTGGGGAGCCCCACATGATCAGCAAAACAGACAGGCAGATGGCTGTGATTACTAACAGATGTGATGGTAAGAGCAGAAGCATGGAGCTCTTTGCTTCGGTCATATTGCAAATTTGTGCCACAGGGATACTTGTAAATGCAGAGTTTTAGATGTGGGGGTACAGGGGAAAGCACTGAGGAACTGCTGGCAAGCACTGACAGAATATAAGCTTTCTTTGTTTCTCTACTCTGTATTTGCAGAACAAATAAATACTCCTAAAATAACCTGCATCCAGTACTTTTGTGGACTTTGTGCTGACACTGGTTTTAAACCACCTGCAGGTTTCAAAGCGCCCATAACCACCTCTTATGCTTTGGTATGCAAGAACAATGCAAATCTGTCAGCACTATGCAACACTGCAGTCAGCATGGTAGTAAAATTGAAGATGAGTTACTCTGTCCATCCCCATTGTTACTATTTGCCCACAGAATTCAGACAAGATGTTTTTCTAATACCACAAAGTGCAAAATAGCACATCTGGAAACCAGGAGCACAGATGTTGTTGATATCAGAAGAGAGAGGCTGCCTCAAAAACAACAGATAGACTTTGAAATCACCATGAATATCTGACTTTGGCATGCCACAATGCCACAGTGAAAATGGCAGGCAGAGTTTGTGGATGCAAACATCAAGAGGCTGAAAAGCAATCTTAGCTTTGTGTTTTATCTGTGGCATGTACAGCACCAGGCTTGCAACTGGTCCTGGGTCATAAGACACAGAAACCACAAAGTCCCAGAAGAAAATGTTTCCAGTCTCGGAATCCAATATATACAATATAAAGCTTTAAGTGTCTATTTTCTGCAGTTCATCCAAGAACTGAAGAGATTAGTAGATAGCATGAGACAGCCTAGGACTTTTCAGCCTGGTTGATAAGGATGCAGCAATCCACAGGCCAAAGATGAAGTTCAAAAGCCAATGTGGAAATGCAAACGCATTTCTCACTAATTACTACAATCAAATATTAGAACAGGTTCTCCAAGTACACAATGAATTGCCACTATCTTTAAGGTAAGCCTGAATAACTTTCCAGGAGGCACACTCAGATATAGCTTTCAGAATAAGTTTTTCAGATAAGCAAGAGAGAGGCAGTGGAGAAGGGAACAGTTGCAAGGGGACAGTCAATTCTGAAGCAAGAAGGGTATCAAGAAAGAGAGCAGTTCGTGGGTGTAATTCACATGCTACATATTTGAAACACTCAGAAGACTTGCCTTGCTGTGTGGGGACAGCGAATCATAAATGTCACACTTCAACCATTCTTTTGCAAGGGTGACAATTTTCCCTCTGCTTGAGGTGCAGTCAAGCCTTGGGAGTCTCCTGAAGCACGCAGGTGTTTCTACAAGAGTTTCTCAGTGACCAAAGGTTATTGCCACAAATTCAACCAGCCATCTTCCTTGTCCTCTATCTTGGCCTCACTTCTCCCAGAGTCTGCACTTCTCCATTCTGCAAGCAGTGGGAATGGCACGGATTATCCCCTGATGTACTTATCAGTGACAAAATGTCAGCATAGCATTTTGCAGCACAGCCTAGACAACTAGATCCTACTGATTTACTAAATCACCTACCCAAAAGTCAGTGGGATAACACTACTAATGTATAGGTTTCTTTTATGTACATGCAAACTACCACTTTAGGCTCGAGCAACCACTTTGCACATAGTTTTTGGCAAGACCCACTTTTTCCAGCAGCATGACTCAATTCTTTCCTACTAGGAAAATTAGTAGGGTTTGGCAGGTTAAGTACTCCCTTAGCTGGGCAGTCTTGCCTATAGGATATTGAACTACTCTTTTTCTCATTGAGATGAAGCAGAACAATGGCAACACTGCCACTGCAGCAAAACATGACTGCTATGTTTAACACCCATACTCAAGTGATATGTGCTGGATAAATAAAAGTGATATTTTATTATTGAAAACAGCAATTTCATGTATTTAGTGTATTAGTGAACTAAGTATAGTAATAAGTAGCAAGCAACATTTAAAATAAACAGGAATGCACATAATTTTTTTTTCTCTGATAGGACCAACTACTCTGTGTAAGGTCACTTTGAACACTGTGATTTCAAAAGTTTTAAATATTCCATATTCTGTCATGGAAGGAAGGAGAAAAACAAATACACCTGACAGAAAAATGGCAATCATTTAGAATACCCTTTATCTAATGCCTCTCACACCCCATGACAAGACTGAATTCATCTTGCAGAGCATGGAGAAGGCAGGACTCCAGTAGTTACAACAGAACAAGATGCTAATAATTGTATTTTCACGAGCAGTGCAACAGCATTAGAACAAAAGCATCTTTCTTTAGTTCCTCTCAATATTTACCATTACATAAGCTCCACGTGGAACTTGGAGTGCTCTAGCACCACTTGCCTAAGCACAGCTATTTTGATGTTTCAGTATCTGACCCTACAAAGCTAAGTTTGGCATTCTAGAAACTTAAGGACGGTACTCAAAATAACCCTGAAGCTTTTATGATGTGATAAACAGGAGTTGAGGTAAGTGAGTTTCAGGTGACAAGCAGGTGGTTTATGTTGCCCAGCTGCATTATCAGTTCTGCATTTAAGTTCAGAGGGAAGCAATTACATATTGAAAAGGGACTACACGAGTAACATGATTATTTCCATGGGATCATCCTGCATCTGCTAATATCCACAGAAGTTTCCACTGCAGGTGTTACAAGGTACTGACTAGAGTCTGGAATTTCTCCAGCATTACTTAAATGAGAGGCTAGAGTTTGAGCTCTGGAGGCGATAGAAGCAAGCACACTTCTTACAAAGCATTTATTCTACAGTAGGAGGAACAGCAAGTAGACTACCACACAATCCTAACTTTTATTAAGCTTTGACCTGCTCAACTCCCATTGATCATTGGTTAGTAGTAACATCCTCTTTTAGGACAGAGTGAAAGCTAAGACTTTCAGCCTGCAAATAACTTGACGAAAAGTTGCTGACTGTTTCTCACCTCCTTGGCTCATGAGTTGAGGTATGCAGCAGCATATAAAATGGAGTGTGTTACAGAACAGACTCATAGGCTCTAGTTTAGAGCAGACGCTACTTAACAGGTCTAGGTCTGTGCCTCAGCATGTTTTAAAGTCAACTTGAGACCAGATGATCGTCAGAGAGGGAAAGAATGGTTCTCTAGAAACTGTCAGTATAATCTAAGTGAAAGATTAATCACATCTCCTTAAATGACTAATCTCCAGGAAGCTGAGGCAGATGTGTACATCCATGAATAAAAAGAGTACCTTGAATAACATCTAAAGCAAGCACTACTGTGTATCCCACACTCTTACTCCCCCTGCAAGTGCACCTGCACACACATTGACCAATAAGCTCTGCAAATACTTTGTCAGCACAGTTTAGATATAAAAATTGCTAAAGGCAAGCACAATGTTTAGCATAAGTTTATTTGCACAAGAATTTCAGCATCATTAAAGTCAAAAACCCAGTTTCCAAGAGTGACAAGTGAACACCATAGTGCAGAACAGTAGACAAAGTTACTGTGACCAATCTCACATTTGGGCTTATCCAAGTATGTCATATCTTGTTTTGCCAGCTTAAAAAAAAAATACTCCTTCCAAAGAGATATGAGACAGATTTTCCAAGAGCTGACTTCTTTTTATAGTAAAAATGTAAGAAAAACATAGGAAAAAGACCTTCTAAATTTCAACAGAAAGTGCATTTTTAGTCGGAGAGACAAGCCCAATCCAGACACTTCAGTGAGTGGCAGTCTCTTCCAATACAAGTGAGAAAAAACAGAATGCTCCAACCATTCCCAAGATTTCTACAGCTATAGCCCAGCATTCCACCTTATCTCTAGTTTCACTGAAATTAAAGAACATATATGAAGTACATTTAACCATGTTAAGCAAGACTTAGACAGAATGGCTAGAAGTTTTCCTACTCATTTTGCTCTCCCAACACCCATATTAGACCAGGCTGCCAGTGACTGTGGTCAGTTTACTGCTTATTCCTGTGCCTTTCAATTATGGCACTCAGTGACTTAGTTGAGTGAGAGGGATAGGAAACAAGTACCATCAGTACCATGACAGCGTAAAATTAAAGAAGTTTGCCCAGGTTCTCTTCTAAGAGGCCTTTTCCCAACTACTCATGCAGTGATAAGCAGAGATCACTACCAACATCAATGGTTATTCTAGCAATCAGAAACCCACAGAGCCTAGGCACAAAACATACCAAATGCTTAACCTCTCAGCTCAAGTCCAAAATACGTGTTTTCAGTTTCAGTGAAAACGCTGGGAATTTGGAATAGATTTAAATACTACCTACTGCTTTGTAGAAGAGATGATTAATGTTAAAGCACAAGGATCTTTTGAAAAATGGTTATTCAGAAGCAAGCAGTAGTCTGCAACCTCCAGCTTCCTGATTGACTGAACTAGCTGACTATAATCACAGGAACAACTAAATCTTGAGCTGAGGGAGCAGAAAGTATGTTTTACCTTACAACTTGTCAGAGTGACCATGGATCAGCACAGGGATCTTAAAGTGACGAAGACCCAGTCTACTACTAGGTCTCCTTGATAGCATCTCTATAAAATAAACAAGTCTATCTTACAGTGAGAAAGTCACACAAATAAACTGCAAGTCAAAGGGAACTTGACAACAAGTGCTGAGAACAGATGCTTAAACCTCAAACTGGCTTTGTCCAGTAGTGCTTATAAGCTGTGCAAAGAAAGACAGCTTTTTTATACCACAATCTAGTTTAGAAGCCTAGTCCTGAGGAATGATGCACTGAAACAAGACTTGCAGCCTAATGTTACTGCAGCTTTGTTTTAATGACAGTGCCCAGAGGGAATGTATCAAGGTAATAGTCTGAAGTATAGTAGTCTTTCTCTAACCTCCACTTCATGCACAAAGGGGGCAAAAGTGGTTAGAACAGGTTTGCAGAGGTGTCATTAAGTGCTAAAGGGTGACTGAATCAAGCACGCAGCCTAGACTGTCATGACTGAGGTCATCATTTACCCAGTGCTCGTTGTCAAGTTACCCTTGCTACAGGAGTGACCATAAACCTGAACCCAAACAAGCTAATGCACAGCAAACTAAGCCACTGCCACATGCACCATCAAGCCACTAGGGCAACCTGAAACAGAAAGGGGTAGACTGCCTGCAACACAGTGATGAAGAGCTACTGAGTACACCAGCATTACCTGCCGAGCCAGGATTATTTCGAAGGCAATGAGACCGTTCCAGCAATCCTTTGTACTCTAGTGCCAATGCAATAGGTAGTGTGCAGCATCAGGATACAATTTAACCATTCAAGAGTTTAACAGCTAACAGCCAGCCATCAGTATTTCTAATGTGCCAAAGCATCTTAAGAAACAGACAGGGAACACTGAGGTCCTGCAAAGCTTAGGCCCAGGCATTCAGCTGTTTAGAGGGCAGCCACTCAATGTGAAGTTTCCTTAGAGGCCTCGGCATCAGGTTACGTTACCAAAAGCACAGTGGCAGGAAGCTTAACTTCTCCATAGCTCTGTCTCACTAGGAATCCATTACAGCCTTTTTTTATAGCATTTCCTTTTCTAGGAGAGGCACCTGGCTTGATGTTCAGCAGCCAAGGCTTTCAGAGATCAGTAAAACATAAGTCTGTGTTTCCAGCTTGGTAGGACTCTTCCTTAGCATCTCACCGCTTGTCCCACATGAGCTGATGCACAGAAACAGTTTCTAAAGATGAGATCCCACAAGATAGATACTTAAGCCTAAATTATCTGATATGCAAATCAAACATCTCTCCAGACAATGATTTACTTCTGCAATGGCTATAGCATAGGCTAGCTTTAAAAACATCTACACAAGAGACAGCAGCAATTACAAACCCTTAAATCTTCTTTCTAGTGACACTCTATACTAGACCAAGTATTGCTTTGCATGCAGAAGTTATTCTTGCTAGGACTGCATTCCAGCAGTAAGCTTGCACCACGTTTAACACACATGACAACACTGGCATCGTGTTAGTTTTTAAAAAGTCAAAGTCTTGGGTGAGAGATATCTTGTCTGCAAACTACATCAAGTCCAAGACTGGGTTTGCTTTCAAGTTTAGCTTCTTTGGCTGACTAATGGGGAAACCTTTAATGAAAAAAGCCACAATATAATTCACCAAATTATTTGTACATTTGCTACTGAAGTTGCTTACAAAACCACTCAAAAAATTAAGCTAAAGCCTTCTTGGCTACATATAGTCTGCTTTGTAGATTGCATCCCTCCCTGCCTTCCTAACCTAGATGAAAGTCTGAACACAAGAGTAGCCTCGCTGCTCTATTGAGGCTGTGTTTATGAAGTAGTTATGAAAAGAGAGAACTTGCAATGTAAATAGAAGTTTTTGGTCTTATGATGAACAAGCAGTTTTTACAGCCATTTAAGTGCTGCACTGCTGCTGTTTCCACCTTGAACAGCAACCCAACATTGGTGCTTCTTTCTGCTTTACCTTTTAAGCTTAAATAAATTGTCTGATCAGGCACTTTGGTCTCACAAGCATGCAGAAACAGCTAGAGGTAATAAAGATTCAGCAAGCAAGCATTCTTGAACATTGCACCAGTAAATAGCTCTAAGACTTGCCGTTCTAGTCTACCTCTCCGGTTAAGAAAGGGAAACTCAAGGTCATTTGCTACATGAATTTTACTATTGTAATTCAGTGAAAATCGTCCAGTTAATACACCAGTTTCTAACACCACTATATAAATAACTGGGGAATTTTTAGCTTCTTTATAAAGCACAGGAGTCTCAAAGCAGCAAGTTCAGCACATACCCTTCAGGAAGGTCAGCTCCCTACCCCTCCAAGGGAGTGCATACTCTTCCAGAGGCTACTCTGAAAACAGGCCCAGAATTTCAACACATACAGCTTCCGTGGAGAGCTCTACTCAGGGTTTATAGACAATCTCTTCAAGTGAGGGTTAAGACCAGCAAAAAGGAAAAATCTTACTCTAACTGCTCAAAATACCATCTCATGCAGTGACCAGTTGATAGTGATAAACTTTAAGTGGTGACAGAAAGACAAGCCTTCAGGACCTGCCTGAAGTTGCACAGTAAGAAATTCATTTTAGGAGGCACTTTTGGAATTCATACTGTGGCAGGAATGCACATAACCCTGCAGCTCACAGTGTTTTGGGGTTGGGGTGATTTTTTTGCTGGGTTTTGTTTTGGTTGGGGTTTTTTGAGGTTTTGTTTTTGTTGTTGTTTGTTTTTTGCTGTGGATCTGTGAAGAAGAAAATTGGGCCAAACTCAGTATAAGAGCTGTGTTACTTTCCAACTGTGCTAAAAACTGTTTTGAAGGATACAATCAGAAAGGCTTTAGCTTGATCCTGGACTCAAGAGTATTTTTCCATCATAAATATTCAAACTGCGGTTTCAACTCTATTTAAAGCTTCAATTCATAATTTCAAGGACTTTTTGCATTGCCAAGTTTTAGATTGTGTTTTGGTGCATGTTTAGAGATGCCACCTCCAAAATTTTTGTACTCAAGAAAAATTTAGCCAGCTTATGCTTTAGAGACAGGCTACGGAATCCATCTTCAACTGCCAAGAAATTAGTCTTGATTTTGAGGCAAGATCACATATCTATGGATACTACAGGAAACAACATTTAGGCCCTCTACAAGACAGACAGGTACCCATACTGTTACCACCTCCACACAGCCAGAAAGTAAAAGCAACCCAAGCATGACACGCACCCATTCTTTTAGTTTAGTCTATTCCTTCAATAGAAGTCTGGCCAGAACTTGAACTGAAGAAGAATAATGAGGTTATGCAATAGAAAGCAGAGTTTTGCTGCTACTCTAGGTGCAGCTTCTGCACAAGGCATTTATTAACTAACCCAGTTTACTGGATATTCCACTGAAATCACATCTTAATAGCCGCTTCCAGAACTAGTACAAAGTTTCTTAACAATTCCTCTTAACATTTGGCTGCTGGTTCTCTTCTCCCAGTGAAGAGGTAATAAGGCTTCTTGGCATTTGTAGAGACACACTGAAAGTTTCATAGCAGGTCGTCTGGTTGCATAATCCCACTGCACACCAGAAATGGACAGTTCAATGCAGTCATGCTTCCAGTAGAAAACATCCAACTGGCAGTTCTTACTTATCTATATATACACACACTCAGCATCTTGGCAATCAGTAGCCTCCATTCAGAAACACTTGAGTGAAGCCATCAATTGCAAGGCAACCAGGTGGGGTAGGACTGGCTGTACAGCACAGGAGCACTTGCAAGATAGTAGTTGCTGAAGTTTACATCACTAACATAAGGTGCTGGCTGGTAGTAACACGTGACATTAGTGGCATTAGGGATGACGTTTTGCTCTGCCAGCACTTTGAGTGCCAGCAGAGAAATCAAGTTGAGAGTTTGCCTTCGCTCATGCCCCATGAGACAGACTGTGCTCTCATTCACCACCCTGCGCAGAATCATGAGGTAGTCATATTTGCTCCTCTCTTCTTTGGAGAAGTGGTTCTGGAGGTAGGTCTCTAGCTTGCGCTGCTGATCCAGGATGTCTGGGAAGTCTATGAAGAATCGAGAGCACATGTAGCGCTCTAAGGTTTTTATCTCATCCTTATCCATGGGCTTGAAGTCTCGTACTAAGAGGTTACTGTACTTCAGAAGCCCACCACCTCGGATCTCTTCAGGATTTTTGGTAGCTATCAGTTTGTTCTGGAGGTGGTCAAAAGCTGCTTCAAAATCTCCATACATACTTTCCCCGATCACAGTTGGATGGAAGTGCTCTGACATGGGAGTTTCCGAGTAGTCGTAGTAAAAGAGCAGGGAGTCCAGTATGATTTGGAATGAGTCCACACTGAACTCAAACTGCCGTCGTATACAGTCTACAAACTTCAGCTCCACATTTCTGCCATGCTTGTTGGAAAGTGATATCAAGCTCCAACGGTCAGTCCCCGTGTACACTTTCACTAGCTTCTGGATGTAGGCTTCCTTCAGTGTTACGGGACTGATTTTTAGCTTGCTTACTCCTTCTGGCAAGAAATTCAAGAGGGATCGCAAGACCACATCTCGAACTAACTGAAACTCTGCCTCACTTGGAAGAGAAACTTGAAAAATGAGATCCAGGTCTTTGCATCCCAGCCCATTATCTTTGACCAGGACATGACCAGCTGCAGAGCCATTCAGACGGGCATCACGCACCACAATGCCTGCTTCACTCAGCCTACTCCGAACTGTCTGAACAATGTCCTTCAGAGTTATCTTCAGTGTTGGGAAGTTACCTCGTCCATGGATTGGAACCACCTCTGTAAGAACCTCATGCAGACGGCTGACCTGCTCCCAGTTCAGCACACTGCAGGACATGCAGTCTGCTGTTTTACTTCCTTTGCCTGCCATCTTAAGGCTTTTCTTCTCCAAAGAAACTGTAAGGAGGTAGAATATAAAAAGGAAAAGACAAGTCAGACTTTATGTTTATGCTTCCTAGGCACATTCCTAGGCTCTGTTTTTCTGTCTATTCACACAGACAAATTAGAAGGAAGTAATTCTAAGTACTAAGCAAGCCTTTCACCTAACATGATACACAGCTTCTCTATTGGTGTAAGCAGAAAAAAAAATTAGTTGTCATTGGTTTTTTTTTGCAAGTTAGGGTAACTTCAGAAAAGCACTTCGTATCAAGTGGAAATTATCAAAGATAATACAAAAGCTTTACCCAAGTTTAAAGTCACCTGCAGCACCAGCTGAAGCCAGATGAGCTGCAAAAGCATTTTCGAAAGTAAAGCTCTGAAGCTGTTTCATGATACGTATAAAGTTCAGACTGCTCTCTCTAACTAAGACAACAGTAGAAGACACTCAGGTGTTAGTTTCAGGGCTTAGACATCTAGTCCACTGAAAGCACTTAAATTATGCCAGAGATAGAAGATTTCTTCCTTTTCACAAAAGACTTTTCTTTCTGTACCATCCATCATCTATGCTTTATAGGATAAAGGCCAAGTACACCTTGCTCCTGCAAAAAGCTGCAGCAGTTCAGCATCCTGGACAGAACTTCAGCTGCAAAGTCAGGTAACAACATTCAGCTTGAACTCCAGTCTTTGTAAGCAACTCTTTACTCTTCTTCAGAGACATTGCCTAACCAAACCACCTCTGTGGAAACACTCATACCTGCCCCAGCTTTAGCTCATTTGAGAAGGGTAAATAAGTTTGTAAGAGCTGGGATTATTTTCAGATTACATCTGTCAAGTTAGCGTTACTCTTTTAACACTGAGAATCTCACTAACCAGACTTGATCACAGCCTTGTGTGAACATTTTAAGCCCAAGAGAATGATTTGCTCAGATGTGGTAAGATTCCTTAAGTTGCTTTTCTTTTACATGTAAGCATGTAGATACTTACATATGTTCTACAGTCATGCAATTCCAACTGGTATTAATATCCTCTTCTTTTTTAAGTGTTCCAGGTTTCTGTTGTAGTCAGGTGCTTCCTGACAGCTAAAGACTAATTGAAGCCTCACCTTCTTCTGCCCCAAGTACTTGTGAAGACTGCAGCTGCCAAGGTCAGACTAATCAAACTTAAGCAAATTAACTCTTGCCTACCAAGAATAGCTTAAAAGCCAGCCATATAGTTTCCTAACATGCAACAGCATGGAACATTTTAAAACCAACTATCAAAGAACAGCTATTGTCATCTCATGCCCCTCCTCTTCCAGCTTTTAATTTTTGAGCAGCTCATTTGACCTGTCACCACCTTTACAGGAGAGTCACATCCTAGATCAAATACACAGTAAGGTTAAAATGCTCATGGGGAACTTTCTTCTGTCCTTGAGGATGAGGTGCTGCATTACAAACTGTGCTGCTTTGGGTTACATCAGCACCGGCAGGCACAACACAAACCTGTGATTCACAAGATGATTAATCCAGAATAAATCAAGAGGTTCTCCAAGCTCAATCCTTAATGCTCCAACACAGCATAAACCCAAAGGCATCAAGCCTGCCAGCAGTTTTTTTCAGACACTTCAAGTGCATAAAGTATATTTCCATTGTGAACTCCCTGTATTTCCATTAAATCCTTCAGATCACTAAAGAACACAAAAGTCTTCTAACTTAAGCTGCAAGTGCTTCCAGCTTCTGCCTCTGAAAATGTTCCCTCTCCTCCTCCCTGTTTGCAGCCCTCTCTGCAGCTTAGGCAACACACACAGCTCACCCAGTAACCAGAAAGGACTTGGACCAGTGCTTCCCACCCACACACACTTAGTTCTGCTTGGTGATCCTCACCTAGGAGAATAATGCACACTGCTGCCCTTGGGGGAAGAAGACAAAGTTCTTTCATTTCCAGTTCAGCAGAGAATTTAATTCTCAAGCAGTCAACCTCCAAAGCCTTCCACCCCCAAATCACTCGCATTTGCCTCCTCAGCTAGGTTTACATTAGCGACAACAGGATCTTAGTGACTTCAGTGTATTTGGGATGTTAATAGTTCACATACTTCTTGTTTCACCACCAACCATTCCCGACACAGGAAAACCTGATACCTGAAGATGCTCATTCTCTGGGAATGAAAAGACTATGGAAGCAAGAGATGCTGGTAAAGATACTTAGTAAGTGTAAAGATCACTGGATGCCACACTCAAATCAGAGGCAGAAGGAGCAAGGACAACACACCTTCACCTTTGTCACGATGAGGTGATTTATTCTGCAGCAGCAACTTGCCACTATAAGACATAACTCGACACAACACCCAAAAAAATGCAGGCGCCCGTCCCCTCAGGGTCACAGCTCCCCCTCGGACCCCAGCGGCTCTGAGGGCAGGGAGGTCTGGCTCCCTCCGTGGGACGTTCATCCCCTCACCGGGAATTCCTTCACCGGGACTCAACAAAACCCGCGTTCTTCCGCTTTAAATATCGACAACCACTACAAAAGCATTACCGAGGGCTCGCTCCCAGGAGAGCCCGCACGAAAGGGACCATAACCCCGCCCGCTCCGGAGAGGAGCCCCCCGCTCACCTCAGCCGCGCCGCACACCCCGAGCGACCGCGCCAGCCCCGCCACTGCCCGCGCCCGCCCTTTATGGCCCTTTATGGCCGCCCCGCCCCGCCCCGGCCCGGCCCGCCCCGCTCGGCCCTCCCTGCGGAGCGGGGGCGGCTCTGGCCGCCGGTCCGGCCGCCGGGCCCTCTGCCCGGGGAGCCCCGCGGCGATCGGGGTGGGGAGAGGACGGGGGGGCCACCCGCGCCCTGGAACCCTCAGCCCCCGCCTCGGGGACTCGCCCCGCAGCCTCCCTGCACAGGGGGGAAACTTTTCAAGGGCCCCTCAGTTCAGGAACGACGCCGAAGTGCTGGAGCGAGTTCAAAGAAGCGCAACGAATCTGGCGAAGGGTCTGGAGCACAAATCCAATGAGAACCGGCTGAGAGTTGGGGTTGTTTAGCCTGGAGAAGGGGAGGCTTTCTACTACTACCTGAAAGGAGGTTGTAGCCAGGTGGGGATCGCTCTCTTCTCCCAGGCAACGACTGACAGGATGAGAGGAGATAGTCTCGAGATGAGCAAGGGGAAGTTTAGGTTGGACATTAGGAATAACTTCCTCACAGAAAGGGTCATTAGACATTGGAAGGGGGTGCCCAGGGAGATGGGGGACTCTCTGTCCCTGGAGGTGTATGAGGAAAGACTGGATATGACACTTTAGTGCCATGGTCTAGTTGACATGGTGGTGTTTGGTCACATATTTGGACTCGATAAACTCAGAGGTCTTTTCCAACTTAATTGATTCTGTGATTCTGAGATTCAGTGGACTATGATGAATAGCTGACTGAAACACAACACGGCTTTCCCAAAGGCCCCCCATCCCAAACAGAACATCTCCCAGCATAGATCCCAAACATCCAAGCTCTGCCAAACAGTTCGCTCTGTTGCCCCACCAGAAACAGCCAAACTAGGAGTTCATACAGAACGTACAAGGATGTGCTTGCAAGGACACGACAGCGTGCATGTGTTGACACAGTGTGCTACTGGAGACCGCAGCTGACAAGCTGTGGGAGGTTCTGGAGACATGGAGGAGGAGGATGAAACAATTGGACAGGAAGCAGCTTGGAGATGCAGTGTCATAAAAATCAGCTGGTGTTCAACAGCGCAGGGTGCAAGATTGTGCATGCTGGGGGCAAAAGTTATGATTTCTGCTGAGAACACAACATTTCAGCAACACAGAGGAGAAAGGACCCGAGGTATTTGTCTTTTGTAGGATAATCAAGACTTGTTAGAGGCAGGGGGAAAAGCAAAACTTAACCTAGGACGGCCAGCTGACATAATTTTAGTGGAGTTTAGAAAAGTAGTTACAAAGAAATGGCAAAACCATCCCCATACCACCACATCTGTTACACTGTTTGGCCATATACAGTCAAGAAAGATGAGTTAAAACCTGCACACGCACAGAGAAAAGCTGACCTTGTAAGGGGAAACTGAAAAGCTCTTCTTTGCCTAGCAAACAAAACAGACTTGCCTTACTTCACCAACAAAGCCAAAGCTTAGCAGAAATACAGGAGTGAGTTAGTTCATTTAATTATTTATTTTTCTCCAATAGCCCTCCATTTGGATGCCAGGAAACAATAGGAATTATTTAAATTGAAGTATAACATTGACACAAGAATCAGGGCAAGTTACCATCTTTTTTGTCCAATAATAATTAATTCAGAGCATCACAGGATGGAGAGAGTGAAATAAAACTAACCAGTTTCAAGACAGAGCTAGAAAAGAAAATATGTAATATGAGTGGCTATGATGGTACAGAGCGGGATGTGAGGATCCAGGTCTCTCTCAACATATTTTACCCTGTGCTTCTAAAATTAGAAAGAGTAGGGTACTCAAAGAGAAGTAGTACCAGAAATGAGAGGCATAACCACCACTAAGGAAATGTCTCACTTGGAGGTTAAAACAGGGAATAATCTCACCTTTTAAGAATATTTCTTTGGCAATATTTCTGCCTCAAACAATACTGTCTTAGGACAAAAACTGATGACTTTGAACAGTATATTTTCTGTTGCTCCACAGGCAAACAGCAATTAAATTACTTTTTGAAAAGTATTTTCTATTTGTAATATTTGTTAGGTACCAATACAAGCAGAGATAAACTGCAGCACATACTGCTATTGCAGATGTTAAAATATTAATCAAAGGTTCATACTTTACATTATTTGTTCACAGTTTCTTGTTTCATAAAACAATGTGTGTAAACTCAAAGAGGTATTTCAATTCTGTCATAGGGTGTTTTCTGCATCCTCAACTTGCAGACCTTGAGTGTCTGCCAGGGGAAGCACAGCACTCTTTGCAGTAAGCTTAGACCTCCTGACCATACACTTGTTCTTTTTAATTGCTTTTCATGGGTCCCACAGAAAGAGTGCATGGGATAGGAATTGGAAATGCCATTAGAGACAGCTGGAGCAGACTTTTGGGTAAATTGCCAGAATAATGAGGAATGCATCTTTGAGTAATGAACGGCCGGGAGAACGAACCCATTTACAACTGATAAGAAGCTGCCTTCTGCTGTCCATCCACCTGTGTCTGTGCAGTGGATTACAGTGCTGTGAGGATGGAAAACATGGAAATATACAGCCCACAGCTGAGATGAGAGATTAAAAACCATAGGTTACCGCTCAGGTGCTGTGGCTGCCGAAGTGGCTGATGCAGACCCAGACCCAGCTCCCATGTACAATCTTAATGTTCAACCTTTATTTAGGACTGACTTTCCCACTGTCAGCTGTAACTCCAAGTCTAGGGAGAAGTAATGGATGGTCCAGTCTTTGCAAGCCATCCTTTCTCTAAGAGTGACTGGGGTATGGATAAATTCCTGCCGCAAAACAGTGAGCAGTGGCAGCCACAGTCCCCACTCTGCCCTTGTACAACTGTCATCTCACGCTTCTCTCATAGCTCTTCCATCTCTCATTTCTGCCTGTGGTCCCAGTGTTTCCTCCCAGCTTCATCCCTCCCCTCCTGTCCTGTGGCATACCCCTCTTCAGGATACACAGCACCGGACCTGTTTCAAAGGGTTTTCAGAAAGAGGATGGAGAATGAAGAAAGACCAACTGGCTCCTGGGATGGCAGTGTGACAGGGGGAGAAGAGTCTGTGAACTGCCAAAACAGAGGCAAGTACGGAGTTTTATTAACACAGTGCAAGTTGTTCATTTTTATCCAGTAAATAGGGCAGCAAATCTGGCAGAAGAAACTCACTTAAAAGCTTGCAAGTCAGCTCAGTGACCTGGCACTGTCAGATTAGTTTCCTTACGTGATGCATTGCTGAACGTAATGTGTCATCATAAATCTTGGTTGCTACAGCTGTTAAAGCCATAAAGTGAAGCAGAGTTATTAATACCCAGTAGTAGTAGCTGTCAGGCTCCATTCTGTAATTGAGCATCAAATCTGCAGTTGGAAAACTCTTCTTTTTTGTCTGACATGTGGAGTAACTGCATGTCTGCAGATGCTTAGAGCGTGGAGACGGTTAGGAACATCCCACCCACACAGGGTTATGATGAAATCTTCCTACAGAGAATCAAGACTGAGCTCCTTTCTCTGTTGCTAGCTGCCTCTTTCTCTGAGGTTTTCTACTGGGAGATGCAGCAATCCTTTCTTCTGATACATGGATAAAGGTAGATGTGGAGTCCGGTATAGATGCATAGAGAGTGCTAATGCAGGAAGCAGCAGCCTTTCAAAAATCTGAGGTTAAATTTGCTGCTAGAAGCACTGTGACTTCTGGGAATTCCCTGCTCCAAGGGATGAGATGCTACCATGTAGGACTTCCCAGCTTCCACACAGTTCTGAACTCAGCAAGAGCTGAGAGACACTCCTTTTCCAAGAAGTAGGAAATGCCACCAGTCTCCTTCACCAGCAGGACCCGTGCAGAGTGGTAGCTCCAAGTTCCTGCTCCATTTGCATGTGAGTAGCACACAGAGACCCAGAGTTGCTGTCTCTCACATGCATCTTTTGTGAGAGGAAGATGTCCCCACTCATTAGCCCTTTCACTACTTTGCTGCGTGCCACCTCTGGCAGCTTGGACTGTGGGCTGCAGACTCTTCTCACAAATCCTCTGATATACATTCCCAAACTTACCTAAAAATCTGAAGGAGCAGAGCCACCCCACTGTGTGATGAAGTACACAGACCAATTTTTTTCCCCAGGAAAGAGATGGTTACCTCTCTCCCCAGACCACGGTGCTTTTGCAGCAGGAGACCGTGTTTTGCCTATGTAGTTGTGCTGTGAGGATGCAGAGAGTGCAGCCCAGAGAAGCTTGGCGTTTTCTTTTGCCTTACCAAGCAGCAGGGCAGACACATGCAGAGATGGAATGCACTTGCTGGAGCGAGTGGGCAGCAGCCCATCATCTGACTTGTGTTTTCCTTGCACCTGAGCTTGCCCCAACTTTTTAATTAGTCACACGGTTTCCTGGCACCCAGGGGAGAGCAACCCATCAAAATTTTCGGTGGTAGAGGAGATGATGGGAGGGAGGCAGAGGCGGGGGGAAAACAAGGGTTTGCTAGTCAGACTGAAAAAAAAATTTACTCCAATTTGGAAATCATGAGCAAATTCAGGACACACCACCTCAGGCTGCAGGTGGCAAACACAGCAAAGGGGGATAGAGAGAAACACCAAATGTTGTGTAGGGAGAGAAACCTCAGTCATGTGAAGCCCTTGGGTACTGATCAATCTGTGGGCTCTGCTCAGTGGACTTTGTACTTTCTCCCACTACAGCTTTTCACTTTGAAATCATATCTTTTCAACATTCCTTCCCCATCCATAGCTTTAGGAACCGGTACAGAGAAGTGTAGTGGTCACACAACAACTATACCAACTCCTTGGGATTCTGCATCTGCCAGCCCGGCCTGGTTTTTGTTGCAGATGATAATGTTTGTTCCTGCAGATTCACAGATTTGGAGGCTAACAAAGATGATTAACCACCTCTTAGTACTTGTGTAGTCCCTGGATAATATAATCCCACAGTAAAACTCATAGCCCCTTCAATAACTTGCACTTGTCTGCAGACTTCCTTCAGATTGCACAAGAGAGGGACAATCTGTTTTTTCCCCTGCAACTGTTATCTGCTTTCACCAATAAAGGCCCAAACACAATCTGATCTGGTGTTAATTTCCACTTGTCTTTCTTTTCATTATATTTTTTTTTCCATGCTAGATTATAGGGGCTGATATTGAAAAGTTGTCTGCACTTTTTAATGCCTTTTCATTAAACCTTTCATTTCTCACTGGTGGCAATGATAACTGGAAAGGGTCATTTTGCACAGTTATGTAGCTTAAAATAATCTACATGAGAGCTGTCAGAGACCCCCCATTCTCAGATACGCAGTCATACCCTTTCCTTTGGGTCAGGTTTATGTGATTTAGAACTGATACATCCAAAGAGGAGATTTCTCTTTGCCTCAGGCAGCTTGCCAGCTGGGCTGCTGCACAATCACACAGGCACTAGGGTAAGCATGGGAGGAGAAGCAGGATGGCAGCAAACTTCAAGGTGCTATGGACTGACACTCTTAGAAACCTTGGGGTCCATTTGAACTACAAAGAGCCATCTCAATCTTCTTTGTGGGCCACCAGCAGCACATGGAAACTCTACAGCTCTGGAAGCCGTTGTCCCACTGTCCATGTCCCAGCGAGACTGACAACTGCTGGCACTGGTGAGGAGGTGTCCTTGATGATGCTACATGGGTAGCACCCCCATCAGCATCTCTGTGGTGGCACATTCTTCCTGCAGCGTGACAGCTGCTCCCCAGGAGCCCGGCTCCACCTGCCTGTCCTGCGGGAAGGGGATAACAATCTCCCATCACAGCAGGTTTCAGTCTCACCCTATCAGGTCTGAGGCGACTGCCGGTCTCACCTCCTCCGTGGCTAGTCAGCATCCTGCAAGGATACAGGAGGCCCTTGCAGATGTTTTTGCAACAGCTCAGCCTACAGCTATCTCATACAGACCTGTGCTGGAACAATGCTTCCAGTGACAGGTAACTGGGGCTTTCAGGCTCTCCTATCCCATATAGTGGAGACAGGGTAAGGTTCCACTTGGGAGTGGAAGTGTCCCACCTGGGGAGAGAGCCTTAGCATAGCTCTTTATAATGAAATCTGACATTTTGCCTCTCTTCAGAAACTTGCAAAGTCTAGCTTATGCTGGGTAAAACTTGCAGCTATGTGGTAGAGATCTCTTTGGACAAAAAGGCTTGAGGACTAAGTGAAGAATTGGGATCTCTGGAGACAAGAAAGAAAAGCTAAGTCTGGCAATGCGTTGGGTGGTAGTGCTTTGCGCAGGCCTCCTAAGAGCTAAGGTATCCTAAGATATCCTTATCTATAGGAGGAAATGTGAGTGCTCTGTCTCCTTTTGCCATAGACCAGACCTGGATCCTATGATGGGTAGAAAAATGGTGGCTGCACCTGTGTTTTTAGTGGCAAACTCTGGAATCAAAGATTTCCAGAGCATGTGATGCCTCTTATCTATGCTGCATCAGACTGTCCACACTGCATTCTTAATCCAGAGAGTGGTTGGGCATTGGAACAGGCTCCCCAGGGAAGTGGTCACAGCACCAAGTCTGAAAGAGTTCAAGAAGTGTTTGGACAATGCACTCAGGCACATAGTGTAATTCTTGGGGCTGTCCTGTGTAGAGACAGGAGTTGGACTTTGATCCTTGTGGGACTCTTCCAACTCAGCATATTCGATGATTCTGTGGATTTCAGTGCTGAATACAAGTAATAGCTCAGTTAACAGTAAGAGATCAGAATAAAAATACAGATTTAGTTACAGTTCTTGTTTAAGGCTTCAAAATCTACTTGTTGCATGAGGGCTACTATAAAACAGAGGAGTGAGGCAGTTTTCAAGCTGGACCAGGCATTTGATTTTGAACGGCAAGAACCATTCACATGTTTCCAACAAGGCCAGTGAGAAATTATTTGGTCTGGCTTCCAGTTAGGTTGCAATGGGAAGCATAACCGGTTCATAAGGTGTGTGACAAAAAAGGTTAACAGGGATGGAAAACCTGTGACGTTAAAAAGGTGCTCGAAGTTTAAGTCTTAAATGAGAAGCTTCCACCCAGAAAGAATTAAAAGTTAAATGATGTGAGCTTTTGACTGACCTCCCACTTAGGTGAATGCGACCATGAAACAGACCTTAGCAGTAAGCCGATACATTTCCCAGCAAACTTCCCGTATACTTATTTTCCTGTGGGCAAACTCAGCTCAGATGGAGAAATCTTGCTGGCAGTTATCACACTATAAAGTAGCCAGGGATCAGCAATTGAAGGCTCCTCACAGCCCTGCTCTTTGGTTTTAATCTCCAAGCCAGTATTCACAATCAGGAATCTGGATCCTGATGTGGCTTCCATAAGCTTCCAAGAAAACTGCTCCTTTCCACACTACGTTTGCCATTGGCATCACAAGATTCCTCTGAGTAGTAAGGATAGCAGAAATGAGAACTGGAAGTTCAGATATTGGGTTTTCCTGTGGTGCTCACCTCTGTTCTGCTTCTATCTATTCAACCCCCTACTGGAAGTTGCACTGAAGCAAAATCCAGGCACCCATCTTGAAAGAGCATCCCATCAACTCCACTTAGAGAACTCAAAAAAATCACTCTGAGAGTGCTGAAGAGTTGTTTCTAAACCACCTAAAAAAAACCCCAAAAAACCCCCAAAACCCCCTCCCCCCCAAAACCCCCCAAAAAACCAAAGTCAAATTGTAGCAAATGGAGCAAATTTTAAAATAATGGAATTTTAATAACGACATACTGGGAGATTCTTTAATGATATAAAAAAGGGAGAGGGAGTGTGCCAAGTGCCAAGAAGATGGGGCCAGGCTCTTCTCAGTGCTGCCAGCCACTAGCACACGAGGCAGTGGGCAGAAAGTGATGCACAGGAAGTTCCACCTGAATATGAGGAACAACTTCTTTACTGTTCTAGAACAGAGTCTCCCTCATTGGAGATATTCAAGAACCATCTGGACGCAATCCTGTGCCATGCGCTCCAGGATGACCCTGCTTGAGCAGGGAGGTTGCACCAGACGACCCACCGTGCCCTTTTCCAACCTGACCCATCCTGTGATTCTGCGGGAACTCTGTGATACGTGTTTTCTGAGCATTTGTAAGGAGACGGGGAGGTAGGAGACACTTTGATTTTGAAAAGGACGGAGGAGAGAACCGCACCGGAACGCAGAGATGCGTGAGGATTATTATGGAAGTTAAATACCGGCGGGGGAAGAGGAAAGCGGCGCACTGACCCCGGTGCCGGGAGCGCAGCCGCGGCCGCGCCGAGGGCGGTGCTTCCCTTCACGCCCGTCGCAGCCATGGCGGCGGCAGCAGCGGCGGCTGCCGGCGGGATGGTGCCGGTGCTGCCGGGGCTCTACGTGGGCGGCGCGGAGTCGTGTTCGTGCCCGGAGGCGCTGTCGGCGGCGGGGGTGGTGGCGGTGCTGACAGTGGACGCGGAGGAGCCGCCGGCCGTGCCGGGGGTGCGGGCCATGCACGTCCGGGCGCGGGACGAGCCCGGCGCGGACCTGCTGAGCCGGCTGGACGAATGCGCCGCGTTCCTGGGCGCGGCGCGGGCGGGCGGCGGGGCCGCGCTTGTCCGCTGGTGAGCGCCGGGGCGGCGGCGGCGGCGGCGGCGGCGGCGGCGGGGCCGAGCGCTCCCCGCGGGCCGCGCTGCTGACGGCCTGCCCTTGCCTTGCAGCCACGCCGGGGTGAGCCGCAGCGTGGCCGTGGTCGCCGCCTACCTGATGAAGACGCAGGGGCTCGGCTGGGAGGAGGCGCTCGCCGCCGTCAGGGCCGCCAAGCCGGACGCAGAGTGGGTGTCCCGCCCGATCACCCCGCGCCGCGCCCGCCCGGCGCCCCCTCACCCCGCTCTCCTCTCGCCCCCCGCCGCAGGGTGAACCCGGGTTTCCAGGGGCAGCTGAAGCTGTACCAGGCCATGGGCTGCGCCGTGGACAGCAGCAGCGTCCTCTACAAGCGGTACCGGCTGGAGATGCTCAGCGAGAGGCTCTCCGGTGAGTGGGAGCAGCGGCGGGTGCGCGGAGCGAAGCTTGGGGCAGTCTCCCAAGTGGGGCCTGTCTGTCCCGAAATGAACACAGAAGGCCGTGTCAAAGAGGGTTGGCTTCGAGTTTTGCCCTCAAAGCAGCCGAGCCAGGAGTTGGCCAGGCAAGCATTTACATCATGCTGACCCTAGAGAGCCCCAGCTCATCAGCAGAGAAAAAAGTGTGCCTTTGAGATGCCTGAGACATAAGATCCATAAGGAGCTGTGCTCTTTAGCAAAGTGTAAAAATGGTAAGGTCAGTTTGATACATTTCGTGATTTATGTGTCTCTGGCAAAGCAAAAAACATCCTCAGAAAAGAAGTCAGTGAGATTAAAAAATTAAAAATAACACACAAAACTTGAGATGAAGTTGAAATCTGAACTCAGCTTTTATACTTCAGTTTGCTGGAGGGTAACTGTAATACATGTGTGTGCATACGTGTAATTTTATAATTAAATAATCTGTAGGTTTTCTTGCAAGATCTCAGTGTTGCATACTCCGTGTGACAATGCTGTCACCCTTTAAGTGTCATTGTCCTTAGCAGTTCCTGTTTGTAAGCTGACTTTCTGTTTTGTGTGCACTAAAACATTGGCAGAACTGTTCCAACACCTCCTGTACCTTTACTTTCTTTTTAAGTAATAAAATAAATCAAATTACAGCTATTTTACCATTGTTAGGGCCATAGGCTAGATCTCAGTTTCTTGCATTAAGCAAATCCCTGTCTTGGGTGTGGTGGGATGAGGCGCTTTCATTTGTAGCTTATTGGAATTGGTGAGAGCAAAATGAAAAAGAAGAAGGTGGGTCCTGCATGCTATGGCTGGGGCAGAGGTGTGGTCCTGTCTTCTTCCCAGGAGTGCAGTGTGGCTGAGTTGATCTGATCCACAACTTGGTACTGACCCCTCTGCAGAACCTCAAGACTTGCCCCGAGAAGTCTTTGCTGTTGATCCAACCAGTATATGTCAAACTCCAAACACAGAGGTTCTCTACAGGTGCAGGAAATGCAGGTACTTTATATATATAAATACGTGTTCATATATATATATTAAAAATACTTTGTATTTCTCCTTAAAATGTCATTGTGAAATCCACTCAAGAGAAGAAGAGCCCACATAAATCAATGGGCAGGTCAAGGATGAGCTGTTGCCTAAGTTTCCATGCTGTGTGTGCCAAAAAGAAATCAAAGTACAAAATACAAACCTTTCTGTGACTTGTGATGCAGCACTGGTGCAGCTTAACCTGCCATGTTCTACAGGCAAGCATGATTCCACTGAGCTTTGCCCCTAAGCCTTAACTTAGAATTTGGGTTTTGAAAGTTGGTTTCTCCAGAAGAAGCTTCTGATAAATTTGGAAGTTAAGGGAATTTTAACTACTTCTTATATATTGCTTAAAGGGAAATTGAATAATCCTACTGTGGCCTGGGTGTAGGTTTATTCAAGTGTATGACAGTAGATTTTAAGTTCTCCTAGACAGGAATTGTTATAAAAGACAGCATACAGCTCTGGGACAGAGTCCTGGACTACACAAATCACTAGATTAGTTAAGCAGCAACCTTGAATGGAGTGAGTGCCTGCAGGCCTTCTAGACTAATTTTTAAAAATGTCGGATTTGTACACCTGTTTAATTACTGTCAGGAGGTTCATATCCCTGTTTTCTATTGTCTGTAGATTTCCCCAGTTTAAAAAGTGACATTTGTTTTGTTTCTCCTCCCCCCCCCATCATGGAGGGCAGACGCTCTCTGTTCCGTAGTTCCAGTATTTTGTCCCATGTGGAGGGAAGCGGACCAACAGCCTTTGCCCACAAGAGGATAACGGACTCTGCACGGCTTTGTGGCAATGGCCATGAAAAGTGCACCTCTTACTTCATTGAACCTGTGCAGTGGATGGAGCCAGCATTGCTTGGAGTAATGGAAGGACAGGTGGAGCATGCGCTTTATTTCTTTGGATTTTTTTTTTTTTTTCCAAAGGCAGAACAAACTGTGTCTGTTCCCTGAAAGAAAAGTCCCCCACACAGGAACCTGGGTCTCCCAGCTTTCTGGCATGAACTTTTCAGCTTATGGACAGATTCTTAAATGTAAAATACCCTTTTACAAGGAAATGAGGTGGTGCTCGTGTTGGGCTGAGAATACCAGGGTATTGGACTGAGTTTATCTGATGTTTGTGTTCAGTATGGGAAGTGTTTGTGGGACTTAAAAAACCTGTTGTGGTCTCAGGCTGACTGAAGTCTTTCTGGACCCTGGTAAAACTGTCCTGGAGCCACACCAGGTCTCAGCAGCTGCATTTCCACACCATCCCTTCTGCCAGCACAGCTGCCTGCTACACCCAGGGCTAGACAGCAATACAGCCATCACTGTCTACCTTTTTGGTTTGTTTTTAACGAGCTCTACATCTGCACGTGCCTTAGACCGAGTCCTGTGGTTTTCTTGCAGCTTCTGTGTCCCAAATGTGCATCGAAGCTGGGCTCCTTCAGCTGGAGGGGTGAGCAGTGTTCCTGTGGCCGTTGGGTGACACCAGCCTTCCAGATCCACAAAAGCCGAGTGGATGAAGTGAGGACGCTGCCAGTTGGTAACTTCCAAACTGCCAAAACCTGAACTCATCACTTCACTCCATGGATTTCTTAACATCCACAGAAAACTACTGGCTAGTCTGTGGTTGCCAGGAAGAAGCTTGTGACTTCTATCCCTTTGTGAGGTGATGGAATTACTGGAACACCTTCAGCTTGTTTTATCTCTTAATATATTATATAAAATATCAGAACACTTTCTTCAGAGAGGTGTTACATAGTGGTCAATGTACAAAAACCCCTCAAGTGTGATGGTTTTAGTGTATTCCTAATTTATCTGTTGCTGTTTACAGAAGGCCTCAACTCCTTATTTAAAAGCAGTTACTGTGGGGGGCAGTGCTGCTCGTCTTCTGATCCCGAAGTTCCAGTTGGTTTGTCTGAAACACACAGTTGAGATTTTAGGGGGTATATTCCACAGCATGGCTTATGCAGCAAGGAAAGATTTTAAGGCTTAGCAAAGTGCCATAAAGCGATACAATTGCAATTGTTGCTCTAGCACGCAAGGCAGGTACTAGCAACAAAAGGCAAACTTACAGTTACACCTGTATTGTAATAAAAGTAATCCTGAAAATATCTACCCCACTAGTGCTTACTACATTATAACTCTTCTCATGTAATGTCCAAGGAGATTCCTGGAGGAATAACCCCAAGTACCAGTACAGGCTGGGGGCTGACTTGCTAGAGAGCAGCTCAGCTGAGAAGGACCTGGAAGTTTTGGTGTATGCAAATTGACCATGAACCAGCAGTGGGCCCTTGTGGTGAGGAGGGCAAATAGTGTCCTGGGGTGCATCGGGAAGAGTGTGGCCAGCAGGTCAGGAGAGGCGATCCTCCCCCTCTACTTGCCCCTAGTGAGGCCAAATCTGGGGTACCGGCTCCTCAGTACAGTAAAGACAACGAGCTACTGGAGAGGGTCCAGTGGAGGTCAACAAAGATGATTAAAAATCTGGAGCATCTCTCTGATGAAGAGAGAGTGCAGGAGCTGGGCCTGTTTGGAGAAGACTGAGAGGGGATCTCATCATTGCATATAAATATCTCAATGGTGGTGCCAAGAAGACAGTGCCAGTCTCTTCTCAGTGGTTTCCAGGGACAGGATGAGGAGCAATGGCCATAAACTAAAAAGCAAGAAGTTCCACCTCAGTATGAGGAAAAAACTGCCACATGAAAGGTGGCAGAGCACTGGAACAGGCTGCCCAGGGAGGTTGTGGAGGCTCCCTCTCTGGAGACATTCAAAACCCACCTGGATGAGTTCCTGTGTCACCTGTTCCACCCTAACACTTTGGTGATTCTGCAAGCTGTACTGGAATGAGAGAACTGAAGTAAAGCATCCCTGCCCCACTGCTGCTTAAAGGTTTAAAAGAAATCCCTAAACTGATGAAATATTTTTTTTAAGCAAGCTGTGAGCTTTCCTTATGGTCTGCTACGTACATCACTGGGTCACAGGTTTGCTTTGACGTAAGAAAACAGGACAGATAAGACCTACTTTAAATCAATTTTATTTTCATTGACTTCAACAATTTTTTTAAATTTATTTTTTTTTACACAATTTCCAGCAACATACATTATGAAATATACAAGATAAAGTAGGTGGTAGGGTTCTGCCCATCTTGTAATTCCTCCCACAGCTGTGGAGGGAAGACTTGCAGGACACAGTGAACATCAGAATCTCAACACTGAAAACAGACACAAAACAAAAAAGACAAAAATATATATGAAACTGTTTGAACTGGTCACACTTCAGGGCCAGGTACAGCACAATAAATATTAGAACTGCATTATCTTAGACATCTTCTGTAAAGTTTATAACATCCTCTATTTAAAGAGATAAGAACATCTGGTTTCTAGCATGAAATGCTACATTGTACAGTGGTGAAGGGTACAAATGATGGGGAGCCCAGCAAGGGCTTGGATGGTGACCACTCATTCACACATGCTCATTGATAAAATAAGCAGCATACACCAAAATTTAGTGAGCTGTAAACTTAAGCGTTCACTACCAGAACATCAGCTGGAGGAGCAGTTTCTTTTGGGTGAACCAAAAATAGTGAATCCCTTTAAGTTTCGGCTGGGCTCTCCCCTGACAAACAGTGGGTTGATACCATAATGGAAGTGGCAGCATTTGGTCCGTAGCACAAGATCCCTTTGCGTCACTACTGTTCAAAGCTGGCGGCCGGTGGAAATACTTCAGTGCAGAATTGAACGTGTACGGAGGCACCATGTCACCAACAACAGGTACTGTCTAGTGACTGTAACAAAGCAGCAGATGGCAGCTGGAACCCAGCTGAGCGCAGGGTGCTGCACAACCAAGCAGCACTGGATGCCACCTGACACGAGCAAGAGGGAGAGACTGGAGAGGACGCCAGGGTTTCTCTCTCTCGCTCTGCAGCAATGGGATGAGTGCTGGGCTTGGGGACTTTGACAGAAAGGCTGTGCTCTGCTCATTCCTCACCTCATTCTAATTTTGCCAATAAACAAGCTCAAGAGACAGCAGTTTCAGCTGCTTGACAGTGCTTCCAGAGCACAGAGCAGAAAAACAGAGTCCCTGGTTTCTCTTGTATCGTAATCGACAAGGCAGGAGTACATGCATTTTGTACTCATCAACCTTCCCCTGTTCATCCCCCATTCCCAGTTTAGCATCATACATTCCTCTTGCGTGGGAACTGGGGACCTTCTGTGCCACCACCCAACAGGCCCTTGTGAGCACAGGTGGAGGAGGAAGGCTAAGCATGCGCTTTCCTTTCCTTGGCAAGACCCAGGCGTTGCACTGGGGGGCAGCTGCACTGGCAGACAGAGCACCACCAAGGCAGGACTGCGTTCTGGTCCACATGTGTGGCATCACTGTGACTTGCCATCTACGTCCTGCAGTACATGGCAGCAGTCACAAGCTTCACAAACTACAGCAGCTGAGTGTCATGAAGTTTTATGGGGTGAGTGGGAGCCAAGAAGGTAAAATCTTGCTGGAAGCTAAGCACCCATGGCTTTGACTTTAGCTGATTCTGAGTCCAACAGTCTTATCTGCACTAAGTAGGAAGATAAAATTGTTTTTCTCCAGTGCACAAAATGATACTGGTCGCTTGTATGTGCTCATCTTCTAGTTAGTCCCTTCTTGGGGAAAACTACAACTACCACCACATTTCAATACCAACAGATTCAACTGAGAGACTCAGAAGTTACAGAGTAGTGAAGAATTTTTGGTTGATCAACATGTCATCAGAGTATGGTCAAAAGTTCTGTTTGAGAACAGGGAGTTCTACATCTGATAGTCACTTAGCAAAGTGCCAGGTGTAAATGCCCTTACCGCTGCCAGCTCGCAATGTACCGCATGGCTGCATGAAGACCTACACCTCCTCTGCCAGTACAGCTCAACTGGTTACATCCCAAGATGAAAGACTGGTTACCAAGAGAGCTGGGAGAGGAAAGGTTAAATTTTTCCCACCCTAGAAGTGTACAACAGCATTTCCTCACTCAGCCAGGCTCATTCACACACCACTCACCATTTCAGACACACAAAGCAATGCCAAATATAAACTAAGAGGAATGTTTTGTAAAGACACTCTCTGAGTATGAACAGGGAAAACACAGGGTAATTTATCAACTCAAGTACTGTTGCATCATTCTTGTAAGGTAGGGAAGCAGAGGAGCTGAGATGAGGAACTGAGAGGACAAATTGGAGTGGTCACAGAGGTCGAGTCTAGTCTTCCAGACTGCGAAATGCATTCTGCATATCCTCAAACAGCTGAGCATAGTCCGCCTTGATTTTTGTTTCACCGTCTTTGACAGGATCCTGAAAGAACACAGCAAATAAGCAGATCAGTCAGAAAAAGCCTTGTGTATTTAAGACAACCCCGCTTTGCCAGTGCTGTAACGTCTCAGCCTCAGGATTAACACTTGCTAACTGCAGGGCAAGCATTGTAGCTCTGTCTTTGCTCCTATCTGTCTCACAAGCCAACGAGGTTTAAATCTCATTCTCTTCCCACATTCAGTGAGCAGACAGAATGGATACTGGACAGAGAATTTTTTTTTGTGAGCAGTGGTTACTGCATTGAAAAGCAACTGATTTGGAGGGGAATCAGCAATACTGAGGGTCGTTGTTAATGCTGTGTGATTCAAGAGCTGCAGTGATTAATCCCAGCTCCTATCCCCAAATGCAGTGAGGATCTTTGTGACTCAAATGCTCTGCTGTACTTTCTTAGGGGTGCATCCCCAATAAATGCAAGAGTTACTCTGCCATCACTCAGAGGTTGCTTGGTTCAAAGCAAAATATATCATGTAATCATAAGAAGCTCAAAACTATTCTTTCTACAGCTTCATTTTCTCAGAATACTTTTCAAGAAAGACAAAGGCAAAAAATGTAACAATCAGCTTTGCTCTGAGGCTGCAAAGTTTTCTCCGCAAGAAGCATTAACTGCCAGGCTTTGAAATCTGTTCAGTGTCTTCACCATTACCCTCTCAAGTGATAAGTTCCTCTGGGCCAGTGCATCTCCTGGGAAACACAGAGGCCTTACATGTGTGGATGCACTACTTCCTAAATTGTCTCTCCAAAGTACCCAGACTGCAGGATTCAAAACATCTAAACTCTCATACCTTTTAGACTTACCCAGGGAATGTAATTTTCCTTTCATAGCTATTAAAGGGCCAGCTCCACTTATCATATATTCACCCTCTGGGTCCCTTTCTCAGCCATGCTACCCAGCACTCCACTGTGTGCCAAATGGCTGCTAGTGGCCAGGGTTTGTTGAAAGTGTTTTAATTCTCCTGTCTCTACGTAACCAGCTCTCAAAGAAGCTCATGTCCCCGAGTTTATCTTGTTATATTCTTGATGCTTTGAGAATATTTCCCAGGGATCTGCTTACTGCAGAAACAAGCCAGTACCCTACAAGAAGACTGGCATGCCAGAACACTTAATTCTAAACATAATTTTATCCTATGGTACTTGTTCTTGAAAGATTTGCAATGTTGACTTATACGAGTTATAACAGAGTAAGAATTATATTTCATAGAGGATATTCCTTAGCAACTTTGATATCAGCCAATATCACAGGTTACTACTGTCCTACCAGTATTTGCTACACCAGCATGCTCTGGAAGAGTTTTAGGAAAGCTGTACCCTAAAACGATGCTACTGAAGTTACCCAGAGCAGGTGCTCCAATCCACTTGTTTTCTCTTTAGCCCATGTTGAAGTTACTCCTCCCTTCCTCTCCTCCTAG